TTTTTTTTTTAAAGAGTACGATTTCAACATTCTAAGCGGTTATTCTACGGCGCAGCAAAAGCTACTGGTGTAAATAAAAAATACTAATATTTTAGAGAACAAAGCAAACAAAAACAAAAATAATTGTTACAATGACTAATAATTAACTATATTAACTATGAATGCATCAACAAAAAGCGCAATTAGAACTAAAGAAAACCAAACTTTACGTATTAAAAAAAAAATAAAATAAAATAAATGTTAACAACAGCATTTAGTGGTATAGTAATGTATTGATAGTTGCATTTTTTTCTTACCTGGTTGCGAAATGATATTAAGTGCCATCAACTAATTTTTTTTAGAATAAAATTTATGTTAACCAGAAAGATAAATTTTAAAACCTACTTGAGAAAACGGTCCTTACAGTTGTAAAATATTTAAAAAATAAAGTACTAACCTACTAACGACTACATTGAAACTAAAAGTGGTAGATAATTTTTAAAATAAAAATTTCCAATTTTACCAGAATAAAAAGTAGTGCAAGAAAAAATTTTTGAAATATTTGTATGGTTCAACGCGTGAACTATTTTAATTTTTCATCCTAAGTATTTCAAAATCTTTTAATCAATTTCGAAAAAAAATCGGTAAAATCTAGGGGCCATTCTTTTACATTTCTCTTCATATCTTCACTTATTTTTACAGTCGGATCTTAAGCATGATGTATCGAAATTTTTATCTTGAGGCAAACATTTTTATTAATTAAATCGTTCTAGTATTTACCCACCAGATCTCAGTTCTTATCACACTAATGTACCACCCTAATGTCAGAAAATTAAAGCTCTTCAAAAAATCATTTAACTTTTGGTAAGAAAGTATTTCGATTATTCCAGTAGAACTATTTGATAACAAATATTTATTGCCGAATTTTTGTGTCGCCGAAAAATGTAGAAAGGCGATCGCTACACTGAGGAAAATAATGCATAGTAAAAATTAATACTTTCTATTTGATTATCACAAAATTTAGCACGCACGTGTTTGAATGCGCACATCTGAGTATGTACTATATGTGAGTCATCATACCCAGTAGGGAAAGAAACTAGTTTAAATATCGATGTTGAACCAGTTTTTTACCCACCACAACTAGTTGAAGATCTGACTTTCTTCCGTGGAACAAACTGTTGGTTTTAACATGGCGATGTCCTACAATATTTACTCCTCAATATTTTTTTATTTCGTCATGATATTCGAAAATCTCGAAACAAAAAATCCCGAAATTTTGAACTCACGGAGAAGTATCTTTTTTTTTAATTGTTTGCAGTTAATAAACTATTTGTCAGAGAAAATCAGTTAAGGTATCAAAATCTGCGTAATTACCTCGGCAGTGTAAAATAGATTAGAATAAAAAAAATTGCATTAAAAAATCGCATTTTTTATTTTTTTGATTAACTTCATCATGTTTGATTTTTATTTTTTTCAACCTGAATAGTTGTCAAACTTTATGGAGTAAGCTGTAAAAATTTGAGATTGGAAACACCAAAACTGTAGAAGTTACGAGTTTTTTCATACCTGCGTACATAAAGTTTATACTAAAGTTGTAGCGGGTGATTTTTTAAGAGCTTGATACCTTTTTTTTTAAAAAAAACGCATAAAATTTGCAAAATCTCATCGGTTCTTTATTTGAAACGTTAGATTGGTCCATGACATTTACTTTTTGAAGATAATTTCATTTAAATGTTGACCGCGGCTGCGTCTTACGTGGTCCATTCGGAAAGTCCAATTTTGGGCAACTTTTTCGAGCATTTCGGCCGGAATAGCCCGAATTTCTTCGGAAATGTTGTCTTCCAAAGCTGGAATAGTTGCTGGCTTATTTCTGTAGACTTTAGACTTGACGTAGCCCCACAAAAAATAGTCTAAAGGCGTCAAATCGCATGATCTTGGTGGCCAACTTACCGGTCCATTTCTTGAGATGAATTGTTCTCCGAAGTTTT